TTGATTTCTTTGTATGTATGGATCACTTGGGTTGTTACCAACATCTGGTGAAAATTTCACGTCATTAGCACCTCTAGTAATATATTTACTGAGAAAAAAATGGTGACGTGTTCAATACTTATTTTACCCGCTGTACATAAATTCTATTCCACAAATCTTTTTTGTGAACAAGCTATAGATATAGATCAGAAGCTATGTTTTAAAATGAAATCATAATGATTTGTAGGTGTGCTCGGCTGCAGACTGAGCTTCAAGGAGGAGCTTTGTGTAAATGGGCTGAGCTTTGTACCAGCAAGCATTTACGCAGCTCCACAGGAGAGTCAAGAATTTCTCAAACGTGCATGAATGAGTCAAACCAACACTCTGGAAATTGACACAAGGAGGCGGTTTAGAATATATGTCCTCGATTGATCTGAGGTAGGGTTATAGTGTTGTGATGGAGATTCTGATTCTTCTTTACCTTTCAGGTTTCCAGAGATGTGGAAGGAGGATCCAAGAGTCTGAGGACTGGAGTTGCAGACATGGGATCCTCAAGAATTGGTTCTCACATTCCAATCCTTATGATTTGAATCCTGATGGAAAAGCCCAAGATCCTGGATGCATGTGGCTGAAGTGAGCTCCCTCCTTAGGGTGGCTGTTTGAGGCACCAAGTGTAAAAAGTACTAACATGTTTTCATTATTGAACTCACTTTCTGAGTAGGTAAAAAATATCCACTAACATTTTAGTATTTAGCTTACTGTTCTTAAATTTTGTTAATTTTTATTAAAGGGGCAATATCATGYAAAATCAACTTTTTTGAGTTTTATATCATGTTATTATGTTATATTCTCATAAAAACATGCCCAAAACCTTGCTCTGACTCATTCATGCATGTTTGAGAAATCCTGCAGCGTTTTTGGGTAGTCATGCTGAGGAGCAAAACGACAGGTGGGGACCAGAAACGCCCCTGGGACGTGTCTTTAAGCCGAATTTCCTCATCACGGAGCACACCTCCCCACCCCCCACCCCACACCCCGCCCGTGACTCCTGCAGGCTCTCGGCAGCAACAAATCAAAGTGAAAGTGAAACCTAACTGTCTGCTGAGCTCTCAACATTAGTTCTCACTCAGTGAAGCTCTTTTCAGATTAAAAATACCTTTGAGGAAATGTATTTTCAGATGCCAAGTAAACTGCATCATAGCGCACGCGTGAACCCGCCCCTGACTGAACAGGACGGGACTGAAGCAGAAGGAGGTTCTTAAAGAGACAGAGGCCAATTTCAAGGTGTTTAGAAGAGAAATTGATGAGAAGATAAGTTTATTTTCTTTTTAAACATAAAAACAGCATTTTAATAACAGCTAAAGGTGACATAGATACTTTATTATGGTATAGTATTTAAATATATGCCTGAGAAACACATAATATTGCCCCTTTAAATATAAAATTTAAATGTTATGTAATGTAGATTAAATCATAAATCAATCAATCATAGATCTAAATATGTAAATTTTAAATGTAACAGTTGTAGCCAAATGTTAAAGTTTACATTTGGGTATTTTGAATTGGCCTTTGCTGCTGGTGCGTCTTTTTTTTTTTGTGATGTCGTCATCCTGCTACAAAAGCAACAGCTAACGCCACCAATGCTGCTAACTTTACTAACTCTGCTAATGCTGCTAATGCTGTGTTCACACCGAACTCGATTTCAGTGTCAGGTTTACATGCAAAGTCTATGCTGGACGCATGGCAAGCAGCGTCGGAAAGAGCTGCGGTGCGTGTAGCGCGATTAGAGCGGTGCGATTTGAGCATTCAGCATGCTTGATGCGCAACGAACTTTTGCAGCTCTAAGCGGCGCGTCAACCAATCAGAGGGACTCCACTGTGTGACGTAGTGACAGATTTTCTGATGGGACGGTTTCCTGAATGATGTCCACTAACCTGAGACAGATGGACAGGAGCTCTTTGGCTGAAAGGGAGTACCTGTAGTTGGTGTCCTGCAGAGATACCAGCACCGATGCGGGTCGGCGCCTCATCAAACTGGACTCGGGACAAAAATAGTTCTGAAAGCGAGCCTCAAGTCAGCTCGCAGCTCCTGGATGATGAAACTCAACAAACTTAAAACGTCTCTGAACTATCTGGTGAATTAATTATGAATTAATTATCTAGTGAGTGTGACGTTCTCAGTCAATAAAGCAAAGCCACTTCCTTTATTTCATCTGCCATTAAACAGAGACCGACAGGGAGGGGAGGGGCGCTCTCGATGCACTCGACATTCGTCAAGTGCAATTCTGACTCGCGTCTGACCTCAAAGTGCACAAGCGATTTTGATGCTGAAATTGCGTTCGGAGTGAAAGCAGCATAAGTCTGCTAACACTACTAACTCTGATGCTTCCCAATAAGACATCAAACTTGCAGTTACAGCCAGTGTCACTGCTGCACTAAAATTTTAGATGCCATCTTTAGCAGCATTAGCAGTGATAGTGAACTGAATAAGGAAAATGTGTTGGTGACATTTTTAACCATTTTGCTCTGACTCATAGATGGGGATGAGGAGCTCCATCATTCGGCGATCCATACATGTCAACCTCTTTGGACGTTTACCTGTATAAAAAGCCTCAAAAGTCCGTAAATTTTGCAAAATATCCGTACAACTCGCACCCGCGGGGGTGCCGGCCGCGGAGATGACAGCGCCCGCTGCGAAGCAGGGGGAAAGTAGAGCGGAAAAGGTTCAAAACTTATTTCTAGCGACAGAAAAGGTTGGTAGATGCCTATTTGATGTTATTTTTTGTTTTTTTATCATCCTACAGGCTCTGACAGGTAAGAAAAATTTGAAAATGAGGTTTTGAAAAAATCCTGAAGACGTGAAAAAATCCTTTAGATTGCCCTATATGTCT